CCCCGGGCCAGCTCCCCCGCTCCCACCCGCGGCATCCCTGCGCGGACACCGCCCCCGGCACGAGCCTCTGCTAAACTTCCCCGGCTCCTCCCGACCCCGGCTTTGCACGACAAAGAGCAAGCCGCTCTTTGCCAAAATACGAAGTAAAGAAACGGAAAAAGCAGCAGATTGCCTCATGATGCTTTTCACGTGTGCATTCACACCTGGAAGCTTGCTAGCGTTTTATTTTCCAACTCTAAGCTGGTCTAATACAAGAGATCAGATTCCCCCGTTAACATTAGGATGCTGTTACTAAAGCTTTCGCTCCTTTTGCTTTTTCATTATCAAAAGGTCTACAACCTCAAGATTTGTGTGTGTGTGTGTGTGTGTGTGTGTGTGCGCCCGCGTGCGCAAAAATCTAGTTGGTCTAATACAAGATATCACTGCTACCACCAGTCCCGACTGTTAAAACCACAAAGGTTTTTGACTGCTTTTGATCCTCTGAACCAGTTTCAAACCACTTAACTTGAGCAGTCTGAATTGGAGTTTGTGGCTCGGTTGTGCGCCCAGCACCGCTACCCATCACCCGAAAAACCAAGAACAGATGAATTTGTGTGTGTCAGCTTACACCTGTATTGCACCCAGGAGGGTACACAAAGGGCGCGTCTACACAAGATGATAAATGTGCGGTAGACGAATTCTGCTGTGCATTGGTGCATCATAGCAAAAGCCGTGCTAATGCAGAGTAGGATTAGTCTACTGCGCATTAGCGTCACTAAAAAGACAAGTGCCAGTGCTACTGTGCATTGAGTTAGTACCTTTATTACAGGCACTGAACTTCATGTGCCATAGTTTCAGCGCATTAATGCACATGTAGACATGGCCAAACACTAGCAGACTCTCCCTATGCCTGAAGAAGGGTGTTTGTACCCAAATGCTTGTAAAGAACAATTTTTTCTCAACTATTTAACTGATCTAATAAAAGATACCCAAAGACCCTTGTCTGTTTGTTAGCTAAGCACTTCACATGGGGTGGGAAAATGGCATTACATTTGACTGTGGTCTCTCAGGTCAGTCATGCCAAACTCTGGCATGGTTTTGTGGAGTGCACAACCCAGGAGCAGCACAAGACTCAGCAGGATTTAAACTTGGTTTCCCACAAGTGAAAGGTTAATGTTCTAACCCATTGTACCACCCAAGTCCCACAGTCGCTACAGGTTCACATGATAACGTATCTAACCTGATATTTATGGACCGAATAGTCACAAGTGCTGAGAATCCACAATTTCAGCTGAAACCAGGCATGTGTGGCTCTCAGCACACTTAAAATTAATCGCATAAATCTCAATTTAGATGCACACTGATAAACCTGATTGTAGTAAGTATGGAACAGCTAAGTAAACGAAGCCCATGCCAGGTTTCACCACCATGCAATTTCATCATTCAACACCAGAAGCACTGTACAGAGATGCGACCAAGTCACATTTTCACCTAGTTCTTTACTATAAAAGTTTTTACAAGCTATTGAAAACATGCATCTGGCATGGACTATGTTCTCATGGAGCTAAAAACACAG